ATCTTTTTCTTTTTTTCGGATTTTATTTACTTGTTTTTAGAGAGATGGAAAGGGAGGGAGAAAGAGAGTGAGAGAAACACCAATGTGCGAGAGACACATCGACCGGCTGCCTCTCCCATGCCCCTGGCCGGGGACCCTACCTGCAACCCAGGCATGACCCCTGACTGGGGATCGAACCAGCGACCCCTTGGATCAAGGCCATCCCCTTATCCACTGAGACACGCCAGCCACGGCTTACACCACCCCCTTGACGGGCTCAACTCTATGGTGTCTTTTGCCACAAAACAATGAACAGAAGAGGGGGTGCTCAAAGCAAAACAGAATAAGACAAAACAAATAAACCTAGCTATGCTTCAAGTTAATAACATAATTAGACTAAAGGAGAAAACAAAATAAGTAACGGAAGTAATTACTGAATCGACAATCTTGACTATGCCCTCTTACAATAAAAAGAAAAAGCTGGAAAGAAAGTCTTAGGCTGTAGTTACTGTGTCACTAAGAGTGGCATGAGTTCAAGATTCTGAAACTACTTCCCATGTATCCAAAGACTCAGCAAATAAGTAAGTAAACATTCAGGAAAAGGGGAGTGACTCCTCACTCTCGTGAGAAAGGTGCTATGTACATGGAAATGGAGAGGCCGGAAAGAACTCTATGACATCAAACTAGAACTGGAGATATCAATTCAAACTCATGGGCTTGAAAATATGAACATATACTGTTCCCATCCCCCATTCTTCCTGACACACCTTCCGTGGGTAAACAACCTTTAGTTTCCTAGTTCCCAGTTTTGACTATTTCTGTTTCTTTCAGATATATTTCCTACTTGGCTCTCTCAGAGCATTTAGAATGCTTGCAAGCAATGAACGCACATAAAACTTCAAAATGAATCAAATGGTAATGGATTAGAACTCAAAGAGTAAGAATCCATGAGCCCATAATATATAAATAAGTAAATAAAAGGAAATGAGCGGAGAATAAGGGAAAGTGACTTATACAACTAATAAAGACAATAGAAGGCTAGAATTAGAAAAGTCATCACCTGGTGACCACGTCTGCAGAACATTGTCATACAAGAGTCACCAATGGATGTTAAATATAGTGGGTGATAGGTAACGAAGGAAAAAGTTACTATTACGTAGTTTCAAATTACCTACCCCAATGGCCTGTATTAATTGGGAGGTCAAATAGTAAATTTGAAAATGATAAATTTGCAGTAGAGAACCTGGCAGACACTACTTTAGCCATTTGATCACGGATACAGACGCTAGGCTTTGGAAAAACTATTATTATGTTTTCTAATAACGAGTGTTGTGGTGTATCTCCTGCAAATCTAAGCCTGAAACATATATACATTAACACATACCTGCACACTGAAGGTAAAATAGTAAAATGTTAAACTCTGGGACATCTGGGTGAGGCCTGTACAGGAATTCTTCATATCATATAGAACATTTGTATACCTTCAACATCATTTCCAGATAAAGAGTTGAAAAATCCTTTTCCCAGCTGGCTCAGTGCCCAAGAAGAAGGAGGTCCAGGGCATCACTGGAATGAATCAGGGACGCTGTCCCCTAGGTCTCCAGCCCCTCTGGCTCCTGGACTCACAGCTCCCAAAAGGGCAGGCAGAAATTAGCCAGAAGCTTGGGGACTTGGTGTCAGTCTCTCATTACTAAGCACGTGTAATCTTTTGAGTCATTTCTCTCGGGCTGTTTAAACTACGTCAAAGTCTGTAGAAGTGCCATGGCCTCAGATGCTTCTTCTATATGTCAAGAAGCCCCTTCACTTGTGTTGCCCTGAGGAGCAGGGCAGTAGTCTGCAGTAGTGTTTGATCTCACCAAAGAGAAGCACAGGTCAGAGGGATCGGATGTCTGCACTGGGATACGGCTCTGCCTGCTTGCTAGTAAGTTCATACATCAGTCTGTGTCCATGACTGTGTGTCCATGACTGTGTATGCCTGCATATATTTCACACGCTTGTGTACATGCTGTTGGACAGTTGTGTGTGTGTGTGCTACGTACCTGCCTCACAGCCTGACTCTTTTCCTAAGTCTGACCCAACCCTGGGCCCCAGATCGGTCCCCTGGCGTGCGACTAGGGGCTCCTGACTCACGCCTGCGATTGTAAGCACTGGCGTCACAGCTGAGCATCGGGAGTGACACTCGTTGATCTCATACTGGACAGGAAGATGCCAGACCTCAGAGGAGCCACGGTCAGGTCAGAGAGGGACCCCGCACCTCTGCTCAGCGGCGTGTGCTGGTGCACGTGCAAGCTGAGCCCGTGGGTCACACGCTCGTGTGTGACAGCAGGAGGGTGTGTCGTTTGGATTTCTCTGTATGTTACCATGTGTGTGGCCATGTGCCTCGGGTGTGGGTGGTGGTTTAATGAGTGCACCTGTGGCTGAACAGGCTTCTCTGCCCCACGCTGACCGCCTTCCCCCGACAAGGCGATGTGTCAGAAGGGGCGGAAGCATGGCCTCTTTATTAGTAGGGGTGTGTGGCTGGGTGTGCATATGTGTCGTTGGAGTGAGTTTCTTGTGATAATTTTAATGTTTTGTGGTCTTGTGTGCTTTTGGTGATGTGTGTATGGTGTCTGAGTTTTGTGTACGTGGTGAGTTGAGTGTTTACCAGGTGTGTCATGAGTCAGTTGTGTTGTTGTGCATTGTCAGGGTGTGCGGGTGAGTGCTCCATCATTGTGTTGTGTGTATGTCTCACTTTGTGTGTTACTCAGGATTGTATGTACGTATTGGCTTGGCCAAAAAGTTTGCTTAGTTTTTTCTGTACGATGGCTCTTGGTAGTGCTTAGGTGCCTTTAACTTCATCGGAAACAATTTTGTTAGGTTGTACTGTGACAGCTGTGACATCAGAGTGCATTTTTAAAGACTTATCAAAATTGGTGAATTTTTGTGCTCCCATTTTAATTTTGAGGATGGGCAAAAATATGCAACATTTTTGGACTACACTGTTTTATTTCCTCAAGAAATGTGAGACTGCAAATGATGCACAGAAAAAGGTTTGTGCAGTGTATGGAGAAGGTGCTGTGACTGATTGAACGTGTCAAAACTGGTTTGCAAAGTTTCTTGGTACGATGGACATTCTGGCCCAATATTCTTTGCCGTGGGCTGTCGTATGTGTTGGAAGATGTTTAGCAGCACCCCTGGTCTGTACCCACTGAAGCCAACGGTGGAAGATAGCTGACTTACTCAAAATAGTCAAATCAATGAAGTTAGTGATGAACATGAGAAAGGTATCTTTTTATTTTATGGAAAAAGTGTAATGGGCTTTTAGTCCGATCCAACATATGAGTATTTGAGCAGAACCACGTATTGGCTCTCTTTCCTTTAGGGTGGGATCTTGGTCACAAGTGACTGAAATTCAAAGATCAGCACTCTGTGTGTTTATGTGTGTGTGATCTCCACCTATGACCTCATGTGTTTCCTTAAGTGTCCTCATTCTGGGGCACCATTAGCTCAAGAAACCAAACTCTAAGCAACCCCGTTTCTGAAACAAATCGGTTATCATTTTCACGTACCCGAGTGTGACTGAGCTGCTCACAATTTTGCAACCTTTTAGTTTTATTAAAGTTCCAGGCCAATTAAAAATAAAACAAACAAACAGAAAAACAACTAAGAAAACCACTCCAGGCATCCTGCTGTGTGAAAGTATATGGTAGAATCACCACCCAAAGGCGGCGAGACCTTGGGAAAGTTGCTTAAGTCCTAGACTCATTTTCCACACCCATCAGTTGGGAGGAACATTTGCCTGGTGAATCTTACAAAAGCCTTCAGTAAACGGTTGTTGGATAAATACAAAGAAGTTAAAATACTGGAAAATTTTTCTTCACTTGAAAAGTATATGAATATGAAGGAATGAAATTATCTAGTAAGGGCACTAAAAAATTTTAGACAACTTTGGTCTGCACATCTCTAAAATAAGATATTGTGCTTGGCTACCCTTACCAACAAATGGAAAGATTCCATGTTAAATGGTTCTGGGCATGGGTTCTGATCAACCAGATGTATTACACTGAACCCCATGAGGTAGCTAATACTTGGTAAATTGTAATTCATAGAAAATAAAAATATGTAACAAGTATATACATGACATATTATATGTAATACAGACACAGATCCACACATGTGTGTGCCATTTTGTCCCTGACCCTGCTGTTGTGTGACTACAGAGCCTGTAACATTTAAGTTTCTATTTATTAAAAGCTAACAAGGTAAAAGACCACAAATTCTTACTGCAGCTGTGAAGAGGTCTAAAATTCTGGGAATATGAGTCAGATGAGTGGATTGAATTAGGAAGCGTAGGTAAAATTCTTAGCCCAGCACCCAGATGTTCACCAAAATGTGCAGCATTCTTATGAAAGTTTCTGGACTTTTCTGGTTTGGGAGCTATTGTGCCATCGAGTGGCTTAAATGCCCACAATTTCTTGAGAGTCCCTGAGGTTGCAGCTGTAGGTCGATGGGACTCGGCAGGTTCTCACGTGGAGACTGCCATCGCTCCCACATCTCCTCAGCCCTGGAGCCTCACGTTAGTTTAAGGCAGAACCAACTGATCCGAGGTTTCGGGTTCATCTCCTGATTCTGCCGAAGTGAATTATTATGCATGGCTCTGGCCTGGTGGAGAAATTGTCCCTCCATGCTCATCGAGATCTAAACTCCTAGAAGGGGGACCTGCTTTACCTGTTCACTGATGGATCTTGGTCCTTAGTAGACGTCCTGACATGGACTCGGTGTTCAATAAACAACGGCTGATGAAACAGTGAACACCTCCTGCTTGTGGGCAGTGAAGTTTTGTTGGTTGTAGGGGTTTCAATGTCATACTGGAACCAGGCTGGGATACAGCAAAGGTGCATACTTTTACAGGTCTAAGGAATTAATAAATGTGTAGAAAAACTTCATGATTTTCCCAGAGAATTTCAGCATGCGATGAAGTAGTACTGGCTCTCTTTCTAGGATACTGAGATTCCCAAACCACCTTTGTTCTTGGCAGAGAGAAGAGCTGCATGGGGCCTGAGAACCAGAGCCATGTGTCCGAGTTCCTCCTCCTGGGGCTCCCCGTCCCGCCAGGGCAGCAGGGCGCGTTCTTCGCCCTGTTCCTGGGCATGTACCTGACCACGGTGCTGGGTAACCTCCTCATCATCCTGCTCATCAGGCTGGACTCCCGCCTGCACACGCCCATGTACTTCTTCCTCAGCCACTTGGCTTTCTCTGACATTTCTCTGTCATCTGTCACTGTCCCGAAGATGCTTACAGACATGCAGACGCAGCAACAATCCATCCCCTATGAGGGATGCATTTCTCAGCTCTATTTTTTCATACTTTTTGGGAGTCTTGACAATTTCCTTCTGGCTGTGATGGCATATGACAGGTATGTGGCCATCTGTCACCCTCTAACCTACACCACCATCATGAAGGAGGAGCTGTGTGTGCTCTTGGTGGCTGCCTCCTGGATTATTGCCTGTGTTCATGCACTGGTGCACACCCTCCTTGTGGTCCGACTGTCCTTTTGTGCTGACAATGCTGTCGCCCACTTCTTCTGTGAATTCACTGTGCTCACGAAGCTGAGCTGCTCAGACATCTCCCTCAATGAGCTGGTCATCTTCACCGAGGGAGGAATACTTTTATTCTTGCCTTTGGCTACTATTTTGGGCTCATACATCCGTATAGGGATGATCATCGTGAGGGCACCCTCCACTAAGAGACTCTTGAAAGTCTTCTCTACCTTTGGCTCCCATCTCCTCGTGGTGTCTTTATACTACGGGACACTTGCAGGTGTTTACTTTTTGTCCTCATCGTGGGATTCCAAAGACATAATTGCTTCAGTCATGTACACGGTAGTTACCCCCATGCTGAACCCCTTCATCTACAGCCTGAGGAACAGGGATATAAAGCAGGCCTTAGAAACGTCTGTCACCAGGGTTAACCTCTTTAAGTGGCAATCACTAAATCCTCTTAATGTAGTCCGGAGCAGAGTGAGGTATAGCTCCTAACATTACTGTACGGTCGACATCTCCATATAACTTTAACAGAATATTCTGTTGTCAAGTATAAGTGTTGTTAATGAGTGAATTGACGTAAGGTTTCTACTGGGGTTGTTTATAATTCTTTATTCCTAATTAATATTTTGCACTTATTCATCTCTTCTAAGATATAGAAATTTTTTTGCAAACCACATTGCATAATTACAATTGTGGATTTGTCTTTTTCTCCCTTGAAATACATCAGTTTTTGCTTATGTGTTGTTTATACTATAGGGACACACTGATTTAACACCATGATCTGCTCCTGGATAACTTTTTTCCTTTTGAATTGATTCTTTCATGCTGGCTCTTCATTGGCTTCAGCTGATTGTGCGCATGTCTTCCCAACTCATGCAGTGACATCATGTAAAGAATAATGACACTATGAAAATTGGCAAGTGCTACAAAGCAAATCTTTTAACAAAAAACAGAGAGAAACTTTTAATAAATGGTTTTAAGAACCCTGGTTGGGTGTCGCTGTTGGTTGGAGTATTGTTCCTTAAACCAAAAGGCTGCACGCTCAATCCCTGGTCCAGTCACACACCTGGGTTGCTGGATCAATCAGCAGTCAGGATGCCTATGGGTGCCAACGAATCTGTTTTTCTCTCTCACATCCATATTTCAATTTCTCTCTCCCGCCTCTCTCTCTAAAATCAATAAAAATGTGTCCTTGCATGAGGATAAAAAAATACATTTTATAGCACATCACTTGTTTTATAATTAGGAGATATTTCTAGCAATGGATCCTCCCTTAATAGCTCATCTACTTCTGATATTAGTGTCGATATTTTATTTCCATATGCATAGATGCATACACAGATGCAGATACACATTGAGATATAAATACTAGTATAGTATATCTAGTAAATGTGCAGCTTCTTTTGGTTAGGGTTTACATGGCATTTCTTTTCCATCACTTTAAAATTTTCGATGTCCTTATATCTAGAGGTGTCCATTGTTAATGGTGGAAAGCTGGATTTTGCCCTTTTTATGTAAAGCAACAATATATTTCTGGAGAATTTTATCTATTCACATCTAATGGAATAATATCTTTGAACTTACATTTTCCAAATTACTATGTCTTCTTATTTGATACATCTATTTCATATTTATTCCCTTGTTTTCCTCCCTTGTGGGGGATGGGCTGGGTACAGTGATCTTTACGGATGGTTTATGACAAAGTAGGGCTCCCTAAGACACTCCCTTCTTTAGGGGGGGTCTACGTGCAGGCCTGGAGGTTCTCAGTTTATAGGGGGATCAAGCTGGGGCAAGGACTCCCAGGCAGATGAAGGCCTCTCATTCTCTCGCTGGGGCCGGTGGTCCAGAGAGTTCTACTTCTTGGAGGCCATGTGAACCATGAGATCCACCACCGTGTTGCCATAGCCAAATTCATTGTCATTATAGAAAATGAGCTTGACAAAGTGGTGACTGAGGACAATGCGACCTGCAGCATTCAAGGTGGAGAAGTGTCACTGTTAAGGTTGCAGAATACCAGCTGTCATTTGTGGTGAGTGGCTGTGTTTGGCTTCAGTCAATTTTTTTTTTTTTTTTTTTTTTTTTTTTACTTTTTATTTTTATTTTTATTTTTATTTTTTTTTTTATTTTTTTTTATTTTTTTTTTTATTAATTTATTTACTTTTTAAATACATTTGTCTCTGCCTTCCCCCCCCTTTCCCTTGCCCCCTCCCACCTTCCCTCCCTCAGCTCTTCCCCTTTGGTTTTGTCCATGAGTCCTTGCTATATGTTCCTTGACTTTCACCTTCCCTTCCCTTTCCCTGCCCCCCTTCCCTCTTGTCTCTGTTGATTTCTTTTCCTTTCAGTGTTGCTGGCCATATTTGCCTTGCTTCTTTGCATTCTTGGTTAGGTTCCGCTTATAGGTGAGATCATATGGTATTTGTCTTTCGCCCCCTGGCTTATTTCGCTTAGCATGATGCTCTCCAGTTCCATCCATGCTGTTGCGAAGTTTAGTACTTCTTTTTTTCTTTCTGCTACGTAGTATTCCATTGTGTATATGTACCATAATTTTTTGATCCAATCATCTACTGATGGGCATTTAGGTTGCTTCCAACACTTGGCTATTGTAAATTGTGCTGCTATGAACATTGGGGTGCATAGGTTCTTTTGTATTGGCGTTTTGGTGTTCTCAGGGTATAGTCCCAGCAGGTGAATTGCTGGATCAAAAGGCAGTTCCATTTTCAGCTTTCTGAGGAAATTCCACACTGCTTTCCATAGTGGCTGCACCAGTCTGCATTCCCACCAACAGTGGACTAGAGTTCCCTTTTCTCCACAGCCTCGCCAGCACCTGTTGTTTGTGGATCTGTTTATGATGGCCATTCTGACCGGTGTGAGGTGGTACCTCATGGTGGTTTTGATCTGCATTTCTCTAATGGCTAGTGATGCAGAGCATCCTTTCAAATGCCTCTGGGCCCTCTGTATCTCCTCCTTAGAAAAGCATCTGCCCAGGTCCTTTGCCCATTTTTTGATTGGATCGTTTGTACCGTGCTCATGGATTGGAAGAATTAATATCCTTAAAATGTCCATACTACCAAAAGCAATTTATAGATTCAACGCAATCCCTATTAAGATACCAATGACGTATTTCACAGAAATAGAACAGACATTTCAAAAATTTATATGGAACCATAAACGACCTCGAATAGCTGCAGCAATTTTGAGAAAGAAACACAAAGTAGGAGGGATCACAATACCGGACATCAAACTCTACTACAAAGCCACTATACTCAAAACAATCTGGTACTGGCACAAGAACAGACCCATAGACCAGTGGAACAGAATAGAAAGCCCAGAAATAAGCCCAGGTCTCTATGGACATCTAATATTTGACAAAGGGGGCAGAAGCATAAAATGGAGCAATAACAGCCTCTTCAACAAATGGTGTTGGGAGAGCTGGATGGCTACATGCAAAAAATTGAAATTGGATCATCAGCTGACACCATACACAAAAATAAACTCAAGATGGATAAAAGACTTAAATATAAGTCGCAACACCATCAAAGTCCTAGAGGAGAACATTGGCAGGAAACTCTCAGATATCCCACGCAGCAATTTTTTTCACTGATATGTCTCCTAAAGCAAGGGACATAAAGGAAAGAATAAACAAGTGGGACCTCATCAAAATAAGAAGCTTCTGCACGGCTAAAGAAAACATCAGCAAAATGAAAAGGGAGCCAACCATTTGGGAAAATATATTTGCTAATGATACATCAGATAGAGGTTTGATCTCCAAGATATACAAAGAACTCACTCGACTTTACTCCAAGAAGACAAACGATCCAATTTTTTTTTTAAAGATTCTTCCAAGGCACTTGCCGATTTCATACTGGTTGACCCACAAGTGCACCTGATGTCACCATGCTGAGCGCACAACAGTTTTTCACCAAAAGTGGCAAGAACTCCTTGTCCCACCTTCGCTGTTCAGCCAATCTTGCCCCACAGCAACTTTCTCTTTTGTTTTCCCCAATGAAAAAAGTCCTCAAAAAGGAACACTTTGTTCAGCGAAACAGAAACGGAGACATGGAAGTAAAGAACAAACTCAAGAGTGACCAGGGAGAGGGGAGCAGGATAAGAGGGGAAAGAAGGGGGAAGAGGCAAGTCAAGGAACATGAATAGAGGACTCAAGGGCACAGACAATGGGGTGGGGACTGGCTGTGGGAACAGGGGAGGGTTCAGGGGAGAACGGGGCAGGGGAGAGCAACAGGGAAAACGGTGGGACAGCTGTTACTGAACAACGATAAAAAATAAAATGAAAATACAGGTAAAAAATTTTAAATATATAAATTTGAACCGTTGGTACCAGCCTTCTCTAATAAAATAAGAAGACGACCAAAAAAAGAGAAACGTTTGCCAGTGTGGACGAGTTAAACAAAAAATGGCAGAAGCGCTAAAAGGCATCAAAATCCATGGGTTCAAATACAGTTTGGAGCAATGGAAGAAAAGTCTCTACAGGTGTAGTGCATCAAATGGAGAATACTTTGAATGTGACCGAAGCTGAAATATGTAAGAATAAATACACAACTTTTAATAAATAAAATCAGGGCTTTCTTTTTTTGGTCCGCCCCGTGTGTTGTTATTCCATTCTTCAAGTATTAACTGATTAATGATACCCTATTATTACTTTATAATTATTTACTGTGCTGTATGCAGTGGTTACTTCTTATATCCTCTATATTGTTTAATTGTACTTTATTTTTCAAAACATGAAATTGACCATTTTAGCCATTTGAGGTACACAATTCAGTGGCCATTTAGGACGCTATCTCCAATATCTCATTCTAGGACCCATACAGGAAATTCTACAGAAATTCAATGAAATTACTATGCAACTGTGGAAAAAAAAAACAACACAAAGATATCTATGAATCAAGATGGAGAAACATCGGGATGTATTGTCAAGTGGAAAATAAGCAATGTGTAAAGTAGCATTGGTAGCAGGCTACTCTTTAAGTGAAAATGAAGGGGAAATAAGATAAGACTTCTCATTTGAGCAGGAAGAATAAATCAGAAGCTAATGAAACTGTTTACCTAGATGAGGTAGAACAGAAGAGACGGGGAGATGAGTATAATGACTCATACAGTTTTGACTGTGTTGTCTTTTTAAATTTAAATTATATTTTATTGTTTATGCTATTACTGTTGTCCCAATTTTTCCCCCTTTTCCTCCCTCTCTCCAGACCGCCCCCCCCCTCCCTCAGGCAATCCCCACACCATTGTGCACGTCCATGGGTCCGGCACATGTATTCTTTGGTGACTGTATTCCTTATGCTGTACATTACATCCCCACGATTATGCAGTAACAACGAACTTATACGTCTTAATCCCTTCACTCTTTTGGCCCATCCCCTGACCCACCCCGCATCTGGCAACCTATAAAGCATTCTCTGTATCTGTGATTCTCTTCCTGTTTTACTTGTTGATTTATTTTGCTTTTTAGGTTCAATTATTAATTGATA